TACTTCCGTAGTGATACTGCCTCGGAAACCCAAGGAGGGGTCGCTATGAGTCGCGGTCGACTCGACGGCAAACAACAACAACAACAACAACATACATAACAAGGGGGCTCAGTTATGGTTCAGTAGTAGAATTCTTTCCTGCTATGTAGGAGATCCAGGTTTGATTCTTGGCCAATAGATCTCAAGCCCAGCCACCATCCTTCTATCAGTGGAGGATTTTGTGTTGCTATGATGCTGAACAGGTTTCAGCAGATCTTCCAGACTAAAATAGAATAGAAAGAAAGGCCTGGCCATCTACTTCAGAAAATCAGCTAGTGAAAACATTATGGAGCACAGAATAACCAGAATGGAAATAATGAGAATGTTCACTTATTATGAAGAATGTAAATGATGTCACTGAACAACTTATGTAGAATTGTTGAATGAGAATCTAAACTACTGTGTAAACCTTCATCAAAAACACAATAAAATATTATTTAAAAACAAAAACCTTATGGATCACAATGGTCCTATCCCCAACTGATCATGAGGATGGTATCATACTTTCTTCCTTTGTGCATGGGGACTCCATGAGTCAAAGATCAACTCAACAGCAACTTGTAACAACATATTTAATATTTTACTTGTTTATTTCTATTTATTCTCTATCTCTTCCACTAGAATGGCCATTCCACAAACATAGATTCATTTATCTTTTTTGTTGTTGTTGTTGTTCAACACACTGTTTACCCAAAGCCTGGAACAAGCCCTAGCACACAGTAGGTGCTTAATGTATGTTTGTTAGTTGACTAAATGAGTGATGGTGTTGAGGTAGTGAGGATAGAAACAGGGATCTTGACCTTGTCCCACCTATTATGTCAGGAGCTGAGCCTCAAGTGAGTCAAGTCTTGACCTAACAGACACTCAGGTAGAAAATGCTAAATACCTAGTAGTGCGACCAGAGAAGGCTCTTCAGAGGGAGTTAGTATCATCTGGGCTGATCCTTGAAGATCTGATGTAAATTATAGAGATCATGGGGTTTGGTGAGGCCTATAGGGTGGCAGAAACTTCAGGTAGCACTTGAAGGGGTGAGGCAACTTAGAAAAGGATGAAAAAGTATGGATTAACTTTAAAAAAAAAATCAGTAAAGGGCCTTGAATTCCAAGGGGATGACCCTCGATTTGGTCCTCAGAGATGTCACATCCTGATCACTCACCCCCAAATAGCTCAGAGACATTTCACCTTGAACAAAGACCCACACATAACTCAGAAACAATAATAAAGAGCTCATGTTAATTGAAAGGTTATTAATTTATTGAGGAAGCTTGTATGGAGGACTTTCAGATGTGTAAGTTTAGTACCAAACCCACTTCAGGAGCCCCCAGCAAGAGGTGTGAAGTGGCTAATTTCTCAATCTTCAGAGGTCTCTGAGGGTTGGCAAAGGTTTAGAGGAAGGAAGGGAAAGGGCGGCATCATGGGGAACAGAATGGAGAAGGGCCTGCCTCAATTATGAGGAGATGTAGTTGGACACTTCAATCAGATTTCTGTCAGGGTCTCAAAAATAGATGGACATAATAGGCCCTTTTTCTCCCATTCTGGGCACTGGACCTTCCTCAATGGGGACATCACAAGCCTGAAGTGAGAGAAGAAAACAAAAGTTAACTGTCACAGTTCTTGTGGGAAAGCAAAATTTAATTCCTTATAATGGCCTAGACAATCCTGTAAGTCCCCTGTATCTTTCTGACTTCAACTCCTACCATCCCCTCCCCATTCTGCCAGAATGCTCCTTAGAAGTGATGGTGATATTTCATCTCATGCACGTTGGACATCTTATCAGGAGGGACCAATCCATGGAGAAGGAAATCGTGCTTGATAAAGTCAGTGAAAAAGAGGAAAACCCTCAATGAGATGGATTGACATGGTGGCTCAATAATAGGCTCAAACACAGCAACAATTGTGAGGATGGTGTGGGACTGGGCAACGTTTTGTTCCATTGTAAATGAGGTTGCTATGGGTTGAAACCTATTCAATGGCACCTACCAGCAACAACATTCTGCTCTAGCCACTTACCAGCTGTATGACCTTGGGGAAAGTGCTTAACTGTTCTGTACCTCAATTTTCTCATCTATAAAATGCGGATTATAATAGTACCTACTATATACTATATAGTATATACCTACCATATCTAGTAGGTGGCAGAGCCAAAATTCAAACCCAGGCAGTCCAAATCAATGTCTATTCTCTTAACTCCTTTACTTTATCCATTTTATTTCTAAACCAGTCTTCTTTCACTGATACTTTCCAAAGAAGGAGTCAAAGTTACCTAATATGAGTATGAGCATCTCCTTATCTGTTGCCATAGGATAAATTCTGACTCATAGAGACCCTATAGGACAGAGCAGAACTGCCCTACCAAGTTTCCAAGGCTGTAATCTTTACAGAAAAGGTGCTCTGGTAGTGAAGTGGTTAAAGAATTTGGCTGCTAACCAAAAGGTCAGCAGTTCAAACCCACCAGCCACTCCACAGGAGAAAGATAAGGCAGTCTGCTTCCCTAAAGGTTAAACCAACAAACCAAACCCACTGCCATCAAGTCCTGGACTTGAACCAGTGGCCTGCTGTGTTGCCTGCTGATCTTGGGATTGTTGCCTTTGCAGCCTATGAGTCAACAACCTGCCTTTTTACCTGCTAGTCTTCGATTCATCGGCCTCAGCAGCCAGCAGCCTGCTATACTGCCTGCCAATCTTGAGTTTGTCAGCCCCTGCGGCTGTGTGAGGCAGGAGAAGCTTCCAGCCTTGCTCCAATGAGCCTGGAAGGCAGAGCTGAAGCTCAAGGACAAGGGGCCTCTACCCAGCCTCTAGAGTCAGCACTTTGAACTTGAACTTCTAGCCTAGTCTTCTCCTAAAACCAGCACTCTGAATTCAGACTTCTAGCCTCCTAAACTGTAAGGGAATAAATTTCTGTTTATTGTTCAAACCACCAAACTGATTAGTAGCCAAGCACTTTAACCACTGCACCACCAAAGCTTCTTGAACACCTCCTTAACAATCAAACAAACAAAAAGCCAAACTCACTGCCATCAGTCGACTCTGACTCATAGTGACCCCCGTTGGGTTTCAGAGGCAGTAAATTTTTACGGAAGATCTTCTTTGCATGGAGCGGCTGGTGGGTTTGAATCACCAACCTTCTGGTTAGCAGTCAAATGCCTTAGGCACTATGCCACCAGAGCACCTTTGAACACCTCCTTAATACTTGCTAAATCTCCCTTTGTAATTTCAATCCAGAGAGTTTAGAAAACTGAAGTGGCTAGAATCTAATGACCTTGTTTTTTTGTTTTTCTCAGATACAGACTTTACTGTAGTTCTGCACAAAGTGTAAACCATGACTCACTAGTAAATGATATTATGTGGTGCTTATATACAACATTGACTGGCACTGAATCACACGGTGAGAAGTTATTCCCATTTCAATTCCTTTTTAATCATTTAATTAAGGAGAAATTTTCCACGTGGTGCTAGTAAGTCTCTAACATCTCTCTAACACTTGATGACTTGTTTCTGGACATTGTTAAATTTTTATAAATGTTTGTTTTTATAGTTACCTTTCCTTTACAAAATATACTGGTTTTTCATTTACTTGATTGAACGTTTTCTTTTTATATAAATTTATTTATGTGAAAAGAATTTAGGTGTAATATATTTTTACAAGGGATATAAAGTTTCCTTTCTAAACACATTTGTTTACATGAAAAAATGATGTTAATAAAAATAACAAGTAAATAATTGTGTATAGGCATTATCTTTTTTTTTTTAAATTTTATTTTGATTTGGGTGAAGATTTACAGAGTAAATTCACTTTTCATACAGCAGTT